AGTAAAATTCCGTTAGGTGGTTTATTTCTACACATTTGTACCTTCTACTGCAAAAGGAGGGGTTAAAATATGATAAATCTGACTTTCCCACAATTCAGTCAAGTCATTACTGGAATAGATCATTACAAATATATGAAAAATGAATCATTCTGAGAAGAAAGTCTGAGGTTTACTGAGGACCCACAGTTACCCTCACAACCACCAAGCTGTCTGGCTTTTACTGCCTTTCATAAGCTGCATGCAGTACCAATAGCTGAAAGCAAAGAAACTTTAATAGCATAAATTCCAGGGGAAAACTGTCCGCAGGTCCCAAAACTTCTGAAAGACAGATATTAAAATTTTTGAAGGCAGTCTGTTTAGGAATTTCTGTCAGATAGCTACAAAAAAATCGGAACACACACAGATTAATAAAATTTAAATTTTACCACCATTTCAAATAAATATATCTTGACTTATAAAATCTGTGAGGTGTAATTTTTCAATCTGTGACCTTATGACCTAAAAGAAGAAAATTATTACATAGTAACTTCATAAAATATCTTTATAACTTCAAATAAAAACCTAGGACCTTTGACAGAAACTTTAAATACCCATTTAAATATACTATGTGATTCTTCTTTTATTTGAGATGCAGGCTAAAAGAGCAGAATAATTTATTGACCAAGTCAGAAGCTAATTAAATAGAACAAATCCGATATATAGTTCACCTTAATTATTAGACTTTACTATAAAATGACGAAATCATAACTGCTGGGGACGTCATATAAAACATTTCTTATTTTGGCAATAAAAAAAAAATCAAAACTTTTAATTCACTGGAATTACCAAGAGGAATTCTTTCCCCAAATCTGAGCAATGAAATCTTACCTCTTTTATACACAATGTCACTAAAACAATGTATTTGTTTTTGTGCTTGCTTACCAAAACGAATTAAAGAATATAGCTAGTTACAGAATTCCAAGAGGTGGGTCCCATCAAATGGCTTTCCAGTTAACAAATGACATCTATTGACACACTTGGGTCAGAGAATTTTTTTTTTTAATCTTTCATTGCTGGGAAATATATCATTGGTATCAAACTTTGAAAACTAAAGAGATTCATAAAAAAGGTGAACAGATCCCCATCTTTTCTGCCCCTATCCTTCTGAGACAACTAGAATCTCAAAGCTATAAGAAATCTTGACTATTTAATTCAAAATTTTGTTTGGTTTGTTTGTAAAGAGGAAATACGTCCAAAAAAGTTGTGACTTGTCTAAAGACAGACCGAGAGAATGGCAGATCTTTAATTCTAATCACTTAATTAAGATGTGACGGAATAAAAGAAATCACTGGGGAAACTCATTTCACCTATCCTGTTATAAAAAGGAATACCAGAGAACAAAGTTCTCCAGGCCAAATGGAAAACCAGCAAACCATCAGTTTATCTGCCAGAATAATGATACTGTGTTCAGCAGAAATAAGACTGGCTTTGGAATCAAAGAAACCTAAATCTGAATTTGGATCCGTTACTTATTTGTGTGACCTTGGGAAATGTCTCTGAGTCTCAGTTCTTTTACCCCAGGAAAAGGGGTAAAAATTATTATCTCTAGGACTGTCTTAAGAATTAAATGATATACCTGCCATAAGTGAAATATCTGACATATTACATAATCTTGATAAAATTTATTTGCTTCAAAGGACTTATTCAGGATTCAAATAAATGTATTTTGCAAGATTTTTGATAGTATGGAACAGTGAGAAAAGCAGAGAATTTGGAGTCAAAAAGTCTGGATCTGCATCTCAACTTTGTTTCTGTCTGTCGTAGCTGGCCAAGTCACTTACTTTCTCAGTATCTCATGTAAAATGAAGGTAACACTATTTGCCATACTTTGCTTTCAGGAATGCTTAAAGGATCAAATATGGTAATCTCTGTGTAAGCGCTTTTAACTGTAAAGTACTACATATGTTATTGTTACCATCAAGAAACTAATTGCATTAAAAAGTAGCTTCTTCCTACAAAGATTAGGGGATTCTGCCTTTAAAGAGTTAGTGTCACTCCCCAGGCATCACTGAGGAGTTCTTGAATTTTATCAACATTTATAAAATGTATTTAGGCTCTACTGAACACATTTCCTCAAGATCAGTTTCATACCATTTTCTAAATCAAATTTCAAGCAAACTAATTTAAATAGAGTGGTGCTGCTTCTCAAAGACTTGGGGGTTAAGTTAGGGCAAAAGGCCCTGTAAACCAACATATAATTATTTAATGGAAAGGTTATCTGACTTGAGACACTAATGAGGGGAAATCTGTTTTTTATTAAACAGCATAAGTTAAACTACTAATATCTGCCAGAAATGAAAATATATACATTAATAAACATTAATACTGAAAAGATCAGCTCATGACCCAGCTGGAAGTTGCTGTAGACCACAAGTTGAGAATCAGTGCCTTTGAGATATGGGAATGGGAAACGTATGGGTATGGAGTAACGAGGCCCCTCAGAGTAATGTGGCCACTCAGCAGCATGGATAAAAATTATCTTTTTTGCTCTTTCCAATAAATCATCCTGCTGCAATGAATTTTTATAAACAAAAATATAAAATATATAACAAGCACCTGGTTTCTTCCAAATGTTTACACAAATTAATCCCTATGGCACTATTACAAACTGCTATCCTTACCGCACAGATGTGTAAAAAGATGCAGAAGTAATTCCTTTATGGTCATTCAGAAAAATCAGTAGCAAAGACTGAGTATCATATATTACTGACTTTGTATCCTAAGCGAGCAGTTGGGCTAAGAACCAAGTGCCTAGATTTGCACCAAGAGCCAAGGAGAAGTCTTAATATGTAAGAAGTCACTGATAATATTCACATTAGCAAATCATTTCACTACTGCCTAGCAAACACACATCAAAGCAAGTGAAAAATATATTTGTCTCCTGCATGTTACCAATACCAGGGACTCAAGTGCTTTTAAAATATTTTAACTTGGCTAAAGATTCATTAAATACTAGATTTAATTATAAATATAACTGACTTACAATGTAAATAAATAACCAGAGGAAGAGCTGCAGCTGCAGGACCATTACCCTAACATTAACAACTACTAGTTTGTCCCTAAAACTTTTGGGGAATTTTTCTTTGCACATATAATAAAATAAATACTACTGAAAAAAATCAATTGTATTTCTAAATATCAGTGAAGAGTAGAAAAATAAAATTTAAACATGTTTACAATAGTATCATAAAACATCAAAAAATAGAAATAAATTCAATAAAGCATGGGAAACACCCATGTACTAAAGTTAGTATGGTTTACAAAGAAGATCTAATAAAGGCATATACCACTCTCTGGTTTTAGAAGACTCGCTGTAAAGATATCTATATCCTCCGATTGTATTGATAAATATATTAAAGGTAGACCCACTGAAAAGCCTTCCAAGATTTTCTCTTCTGTGCAGAAATTCATAGGAAAGCAGAAAAGGACAATAATAACGAAAGTGACCTTGAAGGACGGCAAAGCGGGAGAACTTTGATGCCAAGATCAATTATAATGAGAGAAATTAAAACACTGAGGAAATGGCCAAAGAAAAGAAAAATGGGTCAAATGCACCAGGACAGAGGGTCCTGTAACAGACATGCAAGTGTATGGTCAGGTGACATTTATGACAAAAGTGAAACTGCTGTGCCACAGAGAAAGGAAGGTCTTCAATAAATGGTGCTGAGTAAACCAACTATATGAAAAAAATGAATCTTGACTCTTACCTTACATCATACACAAAATATCAATCCCTGATGAATTATAGTATAAATGTGAAAAGTACAATAGTGAAACATTTCAGAGAAAACACAGGGGAACAACTTTTTGTCATTAAAGTGGGCAAATATTTCCTAAACTGGTCACAAAAAGCCTTAAATATATAAAAAAATAGACTAATAAAATGGAACTTCAGTTTATATAAAGGTATCATTAAAGAATGAATTAGCAAGCCACAGAATGGGAGAATATACATTTACTGCATATTTCAAACAAAGAGCCCTTCTCCATTATATATGCAGAGCTCCTACCAAAGAAATTGTCAAGCCAATAAAAAAATGGGCAAAAGATTTCAACAGGTACTTCACAAAGGAGTGGATCCCAATCAGGAAGAAACATACGAAATAGTGTTCAACTTCATTAGTCTGCAGGGAAATTAAAATTAAAACTGCAAGGAGATACTACAGCATACCCACCAGACAGGCGAAAGTACGAAAGACTGACAAGGATATAGGACAAGAGACCTGATACATTGCTGGACTGAAAGGAGGTAAACGGTCACAACCACTTTGGAAAGCTTTTGGACACAATCTGCTAAAGCCGAAGATATGCATAGCCCATGACTACGTAATTTTTTCCCTAGGTTCATATATAATAGAAATGAGAAAAAAAAAGAAAATTTCATTAAGAAACATGTACTATAACATTCATGGAAGCAGTATCTGTAATAGTCCTAAACTAGAAATTACTGAAATGCCAAAAGCAAGAGTAAATTCATATTCATATGATGCAATATTACTGGCAGTAAGAATAAACTAAAACTACATTACATGCAGGTAGGGATGAATTGTATAAACAAATGTTGAAGTAAAGCCAGCGCATAAAATGTATGTATTATATGATTCTATTTGTATAAAGTTCAAAATTAGGCAAAACCAATGTTTGGTATAGTAGCCAAGGCAGCAGTTAGTCTGGCTGAAGATGTACGGAATGGAAGGGAGAGTGTGGAAGCTTCTGAGATTCTGGGGTCCTCATATGCTGTTTCTTGATGAAGAGGCTGCTTTCGTAGGTGTGCTCACTTTGAAATTTGAAATGTAGTGTGTGTGTGTATATTTGTATATTTGTCTGTATGAATCAACTTCAAAATACTTCAAAAAAATTTTTAAGTTATATTAGCATATGTATAGAGATGGCCGAGCATATGAGGAAGGGAGGAAGCCGTAATGCAGAGGCCAGCCGGTTGGCAAGGTGTTTTTACTTACCTTTGTCCTGCAGTGCAAACTGCTGCTTATGCAGTAACGCCACCTCCCGTCCCAGAGCTTTCTTTTGTCTTTCCAGTTCATTTCGAAGCACCAAAATTTTTAATTGCAGGCACTCACTTTCTTTTTTCTAAATGATTAAAAGCACAGGTAAATTTATTAATATGAAAGTCCTGGCTGTGAAAATTATACATTCATAATGTTTCCAAATGAATAATGGTTTAAATCACTTTAATACTCCTTGAACTTATCTGTCAAGTAACTTAATTATCAGCACCCGTAATTTTAACGGAAAGAGTACAGATGTAAGCAAAGAAAAAGAGAATAAATAAATCTAAAGTCTAGGGACAGTTCTGTCTAAGAACTCGAAAGACACTACAAAAGATCTCAAGCCTCTTTCCTAACATCACAATACAATACGACAAAAATGAGTAACAGAAAAGAAATGATCCATACGTTCATTGAAATCCCAACAAATTATTTTGTGGATATCAACAAGCTGATGCTAAATTTATACAGAAAGGCAAGAAACCCCAGAAGAGCCAACTCAATGCTGACAGAGAAGAGTAAGCTGGAGGACTAGCATTACCCAACACCAAGACTCACTATAAAGCTCCAGTAATCAAGACAGTGTGGTAAGGACAACATGAATCAGTGACACAGAACAGAGAGTCCAGAAATAGGCACCCACAAAATAGAGTCAACTCATCTTTGACAAAGCCACAAAAGCAATTCAATGGAGTAAAGATTGCCTTTTTACCAAATGGTGCTGGAACCACTGAACAGACCTTTCACAAAAATTAACTCAAAATGGATTACAGATCTAAATGTGAAATAAAAATTATTGTACAACTTCTAGAAGATAACACTGGAGGAAATCTAGGTGACCTTGGGGTTGGAGATGATTTTTTACATACACCACCAAATGTATGATCCATAAAGGAAGAAACTGATAAGTTGGATTTCATTAAAATTAAAACTTATGCTCTACACTTAAGATGGCTGCAGGGTGGCCGGGTCCTGATTGAAGAAAATATGTGGAGTGGGCGGCTACCTCCTGGCCTAAATGGAAGAGATATTGAGTGTAATTCTGAAGATTAAGACACATTAGAGAGCCCTGAACTTAATTTCCAGGAAGATAAAAAAGATGGGACCGTTTTGAAAACAGATTTCCCTACAGATGGACCAGAAAAACTGAAGCAAAGGCAAAGTAAATGCATCTGAACTGCCTTCTGGAATTCCCTTACATATGTTGAATAAATGTCAAGAATTGCACACAAAAAACACTCTGAACAGAAAACCTCAACTTCAGGATTCAGAAGGAAAAAAAGAAAAAGCTCCAGGAAAGGTAAATTGAAGAATGAAGAAGAATCTCATAGCGAACAGTCCTGAAATGAAACCCAGTGGAAGGAACTTACTCTGTATTTTAGAGTCAATGACAGGTTGAACCCCTGTTTAAAAGCAAAAAACTAAGAAGTACAGACCAGGCTGTGGAATAGCGGACACTGAGGCTGAAGAACTCAGCAACCAGCTAACTACCTGAAAGCTTGGCATAAAAACTGCCAAAGCGATTGCCTGCCTTATCTTTGTAAAGTCAAAAAGGAAGGTGAAAATTCACAGGTTGCTTGAACAAAGAAGAAACTTGCATGGGGATTTGAAGCAAAGAAGAAATGGGAAACCAAAAGCAACATGGGATATATGCAATTTGCAAGGGTTCTTCAACACATTGTATTTTTTCTTGAGTTTTTATTTGAGTCTTCAATTGCTCAATTGACTAAAAAGATATTCCTGCTTATGTTAAATATGTCAGGAAATTGATAGAAGTAGAAAAAATAAGCATAAAATTTGGGAGTTGATTATCAAATCTTTTCAGTCTTTTTCTAGAGTTCATCTTATTGAAGTGAATGGAATAGACCATTCTGTTACTTGTACAAGGAATCTATGCATACAGGCAGGAAAGAAGATAAGATTATATTTATTTGTTTATTTATAGAGGCCTACAGTACAAAATCAATTTTACTTTTCATCCATTTGATATAGCATAGGCAAAGAGTTCCCTGTACTTACTTTCTTGTCTGTACTCAGCGTAACTGCACTTATTCTGGAATTGTGTTTTTTTAAGACTGGCATTTGTATACAATGGATTAGTCATAAGTGTAAGAAGTCTCAATTGATACTGTCTTTACAAATGACTTTATCTTAATGTTATAAAAGTAATTATTGATTCGTTATTGGATGCAGTAGAGTTGATACTTCAAAGTCACATAATAAAAGCAATTGGTTCATTTCAGTGTACCTGCAGATAAAATATTGTAATTAAAAAAGGACAGAATTGAAAAAAAACTGATGCTCTACAAAAATCACTATCAAGAGAATGCAAAGATAAGCTACAAGCTGGGAGAAAATATTTGAAAACCACTTATCTGATAAAGAAATGTTATCCAAAATACTCTAAAAACTCAACAATAAAACAACTCAATTTCAAAATGGGCAAAAGCTCTCAACTGTCACCTCACCAACAAATATATACAAATGGCAAGTGAGCATATTGAAAGATGTCCAACATAATGTCATCAGGGAATTACAAACTAAAACAGTAATTAAATACTACTGCATACCTATTAAAACAGTAAAAATCCAAACCACGGACAATACCAAATGCCGGCAAGGATGTGAAGCAACAGAAACTTTCATTCATCATTGGTGGCAATTCAAAATATGTACAGTCACTTTAGAAGGTGGTCTGGCAGTTTCTTATAAAACTAAGCATAGGCTTACTATATGATCCAACAATTGCCCTCCTAGATATTTACCCAGATGAATTGAAAACTTATGTCCAAACAAAAGAAACTGCACATGAATGTCTACAGCAGTTTTATTCATAATTACCAAAACTTAGAAGAAACCAAGATGTACTTCAATAGGTCAACAGATAAATAAACTGGTATATCCGAACAATGAAATATTATTCAGTGATAAAAAGAATGAGCTATGAAAAGACACGGAACCTTAAATGCACATTACTAAATAAAAGAAGCCAATATGAAAAAGCTACATACTGTATAATTCCAACAATATGACATTCTGGAAAAGGCAAAACTATGTTGACAGTATAAAGGTCAGCAGTTGTCAAGGGTTCTAAGAGAGGGGGGTGGGGAGATGAATAGGTGGAACACAGGATTTTTAGGCCAGGGAAAATATTTTGTATGATATTGTAAGGTGGATACATGACATTGTGCATTTGTCAAAACCCAGAGAATGTACAACTCAAAGAGTGAACCCTAGTGTGAACTATGGACTTTAATTAATAATATTTTATTAATACTGATTAAACTATTGTAACAAATGTACTACTCTAATGTAAGATGGTAACAAACAAATTGTGGGGGAGAAGAGGAGAAATGGAAAGTTTCTGTACTTTCTGCACAATTTTTCTGTAAACTTAAAACTACTCTAAATAATAAAGTTTATTTTTTAAAGTGATGGAACTATACTTCCAAAAAAGTCAACTTTACTGAATTTAATAAAGCAAATCTCAGACACATTCTACCAGAGACACAATCAATTTTACTAAATAAGTTTGTTAACTTATCTTTCCATAAAAATATTTTCCACTTAAACCTATAAAACCATGCTTTGAACTTTATTCAGACTCCCTTTTAATCCAAATACCTTGCCAGAACTTGCCTCCAGATAAAATCTAAAATCCTACCCCCACAATGAATATATATGTGCTTACATATGTTTGCATTCATACACAATTACTGCACTTTAAATGGACGTGCCCCTTTCTCCTGGTGTTTATCAACAGTGTCAATAATACACTTTCCTTGATTTTCCATGACATAAATCTTAACAGCAGTTTGGCTGTACCTAGTAAACTCTTGTCTCTGTTCTAAAATATATACTAATTAAAACTGTAATAGAAAAAAAATCCATTTATTAAATAAACTGAACAGGTTACTAAGCTATGGGATAAGCTGGTAGACAACATTAAAAGAGTCAGCATCTCCATTTGATTCACATACAATGAGGAATCACGGACATTCAGCGAGGTGAGTAATGGTATGGCCTTACTGAAGGAATGGGCAAGGAAAATGACTTTTGGCAGTTGTGTGTAAAGTACTTTATGGCTATCATTTCTCACCCAAAATGCTTTCCTTCCTCGGCTCTGAAATACTGATTCTAAACAGATGACATGATCTGTTAAAGACATTCAAGCCAAGAAAACAAGCAGAGAAGCTTATTTCCAATCATCATTATTCTATTTTACAGAAAAACTCTATGAAATATGACACGTTCCTAATCAATTTCTCCTGAATAAAGCAAACTTTAATGAAGGGCCTACTATGTGCTTCCAGATGAATAAGAAATGGTTTCTGCTCTTTAAGAGCTTGGATCTCATGGAGACAAAGGCCATTTTACCCTGCCAATCCACTGTAAAAACAAAGACAAAAGTCAAATAGATTGCTTATCATTAAAGAAAAAAGAACCAAGGAGGAATTTGCATTTCTTGTCAATAATGTGATCAGGAAGCCCTAGGGTGTTTTTACATCACTGAGGAAAGAAATATGTAAATTCTTAGGAAGCAATCTCTTTTCCATAAAGAGATAAGTGTTCAATTTCCTTAACTTGAATTTTTCTACAAAATATATAAACTGAATTCTACCAGGGTAGGGGGGGGGAATAGAAAGGAAATAAAAGAACCTCTTCAGAGAACACAGGGATATGCCAATCTGCTCTATTCCAAGGTACACACACAAATTAGGAAATGTTTTCTAAATCAAAGAACTAAGGGTACAAGTTAATCTAAATACTATACTAATACAGGAAGGCGTGTGTATAGTGTGTTTGTGTTATGGTCCATGTGCAGAAACTGGACCATTTACAGAAATATATCAAGTCATTCAAAGCCAGGATTGTTGGCTTTAATTTCTGATGAGTAAACAAACCCTGCCCAAGTGGGATCTGGTTCTGATCCTTTCTAATGCCTCTAAGGCAACTGCTCAAATATCTTAATGTTCCATAAGTATCTTCTAATGGGTTTCTGTGTTCTATTTATCTGTTTACTCTAAGTATAGTTTATGTCACATGTGTATCTCCAATGAATCATTTTTAATTGGATTTTAG